CTCAAACTGCCTCCTTATAATTGGCTTTTACCTCCATTCATAATTGAAATCACATTTGGTTGTGTTGCAGGTACCATGCTATAACAGTGCTCTAATCTGCTGATCCTATTACTCTTTTGGGGTTGGGTCTATTCTCCTGTTAATGTCTGTGAGTTCCTCTCATTAACATTAATAGAAGTTAGGCATACATTTCAATAGGAGAATATAACTCAGAGTATATAAATATCTAGCTGTTACTGAAAATTCAACATAAGGAGAGAGGATAGTCTGTTTTACTTAGTCCTGGGGGAATTCTGCACCAAAAAATTAAAAATTCTGCACACAATATTTTAAAATTCTGCAAATTTTATTTGTCAAAATAACACTATATAATCACACCAGTTTCAATTATTTTGGTAATTTATTTCAAAATACCTGTCAGCAAATATGTCTGTCACAATACAGACACACAAAAAACCCCCCCAGGAATATAGAGTTAAAGAAACCCCTATAACAATTCCCAGTTCCTGCTTCTCTGCCCCCTTCCCCTCCCCCAGAGCCCAGTCAGGGGGCCATACACTCACACCCCCTGCCCTCCCCCCAGAGCCAGCCATGGCCCACCCAGCCCAGATACTCATATCCCCTTCCTCCCAGCTGCAGGGCCTCCCCAGCCCAAACATTCACACCCCCTCTCCCCCAGAGGCCAGCTGCAGGGCCCCAGCCCAGACACTCACAGACCCTACCCTCTTAGAGCCCAGGGAGCCAGAGGGAGAAACAGCCTGATGCTGGGTCCTGGGCTTGCATGGAGTTTCCTGTGCACTGCCGTCTCCTTCCTTCAGGCTGTGTTGGGAACTGCAACTGCTGGGAACCCTCCAGTTCCCTCCCCCTCCCCCTGGCCTTGTCTTCTATTTGTGAGCTGGGCTCTGACAGGTCCTGTGGCCCCTAGTGGCAGCTAACATTTCTGCAGCCCATTTCTGCGGCGGCGGGGGGGGGGGCAAAGAAAATTCTGCATGCACAACATTAATTTCTGCAAAATTCTGCATTGCACAGTGGCGCAGAATTCCCCCAGGAGTATTTACTGACAAGCCATAATATTAGAGACCTGCTTTAGACAAGGCAGCATTCCTCCAGACAAGTGTGATGGATAGGTAAAGAGGCTGATCCATCTCTCAATTAAGTCAATGGGAGATTTTATTGTATTAAAAGAGAGTTTTCCCAAATTCCATCCTTTCATCTCTTTGTTGAAGCTCTGGTGGCTTTGTCATCTACAAGGGCAGTATATATCAAAGAAAGAGAAATATACAACAATAATCTAAAAGCTAGTCATAATGTAGGGGAATGACTGAATCATAGTAACAGGAATTATTTGGTTTTAGTTTGGGAGACAATTTTTAAAAAGATAATATTTGTTGAGTTCAGGTTGTCTACTGACTCTAATGGTGCAAGGTATCCAAAATTGGGTCAATTGCCTTATTTTGCACTCCACTTCAGTGCCTTGTGATAAGAGGTGCTGAGTGCCCTCACTCTCAAAGTCAAGTAGCTGAGGACAACGGAAGTTGAGGGTGCCTACCATCTCACAGGACCAGACCCCTTAGTGAGGACAGAGAATGAACAGACAAATACAGAATCACAAAGTGGAGGCGGTAGGAAAAAAAAGAAACCACCCAAAAAGTGTCAGGCGGGAAAATAATAAAAACAGGCACTATTGTAACCAATAGGAATGATTGCAATAGTTTATGGGTGAAAGTCTCTAGAGTGCTGAAAAACTGTCTCCTATAGTATATGCAATAAAACCAGTCGGTAGTTTGGGTACTGTCACTTACTCCATTTTAGCCTGTGGACTTGTTTAGTTGATAAATAGAGCCTGTGATACCAGTAAAAGGGCATGCCTTTATTTCAAGTAATCACTGTATTTTGAACCTTCGTTTTATTAATATGCTCTGAGGATTTTAATTATGTTTAGAAACGATGCTGTATTTGTCAAGTAGCTGAATCCATAGCTCTTGTATACCAGCAAATCCTCAGCTGCTGCTGTGTCAGCCAAGAAGCTAGACCCTACTTTAAGGCTGAATTGTGGCTTTGCCACAAGCCCAGCACAAGGGGCAGCATGTAGATGTGCTGCTGCAGGAGCAGACCGGGAACCAGACTGTGACTGCGAGTGCCATGTCCCCTCTTGCTCAGGGCGAAGTTATCTGCACCAGTCCTATACCTGGCACAGATTCACTCTCCCCAGAGCATGGATTCCAGATGTTCTGGCTGGCAAATGAGGGAATGGAGCCAAGGCTCTGTCCACTCCCCACCCACCTGCACAGGAAGCTGTCCTCTCTCTTGCACTGCTATATTACTGGCCAGTGCAGGGGAGTAACAGGGCACCTGGTAACTTCATACCCCCTCGTATTGGCCTGTTAGGTCACAATCTGGCCCTTAATCTTTTGTGCAATTCAAGTATGAAGCCAATCATTCTCTTTCACTTTTGTAATCCTTTTTTCAAAGAGCCATGTATAGTATGGAAGATTTTAATCCTTTCTTCAAATATATAGGTATATATATTGCAGAAAAGATAGAAAACCCTTTTAAGTGTAGTTTCTCCAAGAAATCTTGCATATTTTATGTCAATCCAAGGGGTAAAAAACCATTGCAGTGTTGTATCAAAAATCAGTATCAATTCAAGGATTGTAATCTCTGTGTAATCCTGATATACAGGACAAAAATAATTTAATCATTTGATAAATTCTTATAAGTGCTGACTGTACCTTTAAAACAGAGGTCTGACGGGTAAACAACAGAAAAAGTCAAGAGAAAATAGAATCATGCACAATTTTGAGGCAAGCACAAAGGCCCTGTTCTGATTTCTTTCTACTACATACCAGTGTTTTTGTTCTTTGGATTGTCTTTCCTTGGTTGAGGTTTGTTCTATCTGAATGCATACAAAAGACTCTGTGCATCAGCTACTGGGGTAAGGTTTGCACAAAGCTTTATCTAAAGGCAGATTTAGGATATGGGCGTGTATATTTACATTAAGCAAATTATTTATAAAACAAAAAAACTCGCAAAACCACAAGTCATAACACTGACCTAGGAATAAAGAACAACATAGCAGTTACCCGTTCTACCGCCAATTTATAAAAATTCCCACGTGAATTCCAGTAGTTGATGATGTGATTAGTTTTGAAAGACAAAAACACCTGACCACATTCTATTACCTGTATATGATGTCCATGTAAAATTAGAAATTCCTTTAAGCTCTTCCCTTAAAGTCTATGATTCTATGATATACATTTATACTGCAGGAGCCTAAATAAGTAAGACCTTTAACTTTGTGATACACTTATTGAATCTGAAGTCTATGAAAATCATATATGAAAATGTTGGAAGAGCATCATGATCTAACAAAAAGAATCTCGTTAGATGTACTCAACATGCATCTAGACATGTTTTGTCTAAATTAATATGTTAATGTCTTATATGTCAGAATTGTTAATACATGAAAATGTCATTCCTAAACAATATCACTTTTCAAAAGGAATTTGATTGCTCACATCGTTTAGTGTAGTTTGGGTTCCTTTTCCAGGTTACAGACTCACCAAGTTTAATTTGTAATATAGTCTGTGGTGACCTGAGATATCCCCCATGCTCTGCAATGGAATTATCTTGTTCAATAGTCACTGTGAAATACTGTACATCACTTTATACAGTGAAACCTGTACAAGAGACAACCCTTGACAGACAATATTTGATCTTAGAAGACTGCCTCAAAATATTCACAAATATACGTGGTTTATGACCCTTGGTCACGTATGACATGTTTCCTGGTAGTAACTCAATGAATAACAAGTGTGTCTATTGTAAGTGAAACCAAAATGAGCTGGGGAAATGGAGGTGGTTTTTCTTATGTACATAAAATTAACGTATATTTTTATTTAAAAATTTATGAGTTTGAAGTTGCACCTCACAAACTGAGCAACAAACAGAACTGGAAAGAACTCTTTATACTGTACTGCTACTTACAATGTTTCTGGCTAATCAAAGTTCTTGGATGTTTGAATTACCAAAATGAAGTTTATTGTGCCTTACATAAAAAACAACATGCAAGACAGGAAAGAAAATTCCTGTGGCAATGTTCTGAGAAATCCTTAAGTTAATAAAAACTGAAGGCCCTGTTCTGCAAATACAACCATCCGTTTGTATTAGCAGCTTCCACTAGTGTGATACGAAAGGCACGAAATAACGTCAGTTGAAAACTGTAATGGGAGATGTCTTAGGAAAGGGGTTATGAAATCATTTAAGTATTGTGAGTATCTGAGCATCACATGATGTATCTTTAACATTATACACTTGCTGTATGCAATCACACAGTACCTGACTGTCTTTGTATCCCAAAGTTTGAACTGTTCAGAGGTAACAAGAAAGAGTTTCTTTCTTTATCCAAATTCACTACAACATCAATAATTCTCACCAAAAATAATACAGCAATCGTACCCTCCTTCTCAGTGAATGCTGCACTGGGGACTTCATTACTTTTAAGAAATAAACTGTGGTATGTTTGCTCACATACTGTAGAGTAGCAATTAAGATGACATGAAAATTATTGTAATAAATAAAAAAAACTGTGTCATTACTTACTGAGTCATCCACGATATTTAGTAATCTGAATTGGATCTGGCAGTCAGTGTGAATTAGTGAGACTCTACTGTACTTACGGTACTTAGGCCCAAACCTCAGCTACACACACACACACACACACACACACACACACTTCCCTGATGTCGGTGGAAGTTGTGGGTATATATCCAAAGGCAAAATTTGTCCATTATGCTACAGCTTTTTTTCACCATGACATTGCTATGAAACCAACCGTGCCAGCCTTAAATAGATGCAGAGCAAATGGACCCAGACATTTGGGAGTTCAATGTTCCATGCAAGCCCTGACAACTCATGGGTTAGCCCTATTTCTCTCTGGCACCCGGAAAATAGAGAGGAAATAACTCTCTTCTAGATCCCCTGTATTCCTCCTCCAGCAACAAGACTAGAAATTATGGTTCTTGAAACTCTGCAATTCATATGACCAGCCATGGAAACAAAAATATCTTTCTTTTCCCAAAAATCATAGAATTGGTCCTTTGCCTTAGCAGTTTAACTACTACTGTTTCTTTTGTGATCTTTCAACATAATCTTCACAATATTGACATTTTAAAGAAATGCATATCAATTTGTTTAATGAAAAGATATTTTTAGTAAACTCGTGCTCTATAAACTTCCTATATTGGAATACATGAATACAGGAAGTGCTTTCAACAGAAAGTTACATAGTTTTACAGTACAACCTGTCTAAACAGACTTGCAAGGGACCAGAACAGTGATCTGGTCTCTTTGGGTTAGGCAGAAGCACAGGCAAATGGGAAAAAACCCAGTTTATGCCACAATGTGGAGCTTGTTCCTGTCACAGATTGAAAAAACATTTATTTTATGTCAAAGTTCACCTGATTCCACTGAGTCCTAGAGTTTTTCAGACTAATTTCACATCAGAAATGAAAAGTTAATGCAACTAAGTCCTAAAAAACAAAATCAATCTAAAATAACAATATATTCAATATTAAGCTTTCTTCCCAAGTGGTGGTGATTTTTTGTTGTTGTTTGGTTTTCTTGTGTCACAGTTTAATAATTTGTTTCTTGTATTAAAGGCCAGTGTCCCTAAATCGGGACGTTGGCAGGTCAGAAACTAAAAATATAAGAGCACTAAAAAACCCCAACATGATAGGAGGATTTTATAATAATTTGGGGATTTTTACATAAAATATATTTGAATTGCTAAATAGAAAATAATCCAAAACTAAACAGTATTGAATGCATCAAGGGGATGGAGCGATTGCTATCTCGTCTGTGTACAGAAAGGTTTAATCTGACACCAGTGAGGTATCTGACAAATTAATTGAAGAAAATGTGTAAAATGTTCTGCTCCATCGCACATTGTGCATTCTTTAAGGTGGAAGGTTGAATTTGTCACTTCCATAACAGATCTCTTGGTGGTGACTAAGGGACAGTCTTGTTAAACATGGAACTCCCTGGAACCACAACTGACCCTTGGTACTACCTATTAAGACTCTAGTAATGAGTGCCATCTACAGATTTGTTGTCCTTTTGATTCTTTCATTTCAGTCCAGTGATTTAGTTCCTCTTCTCCTGAGCTGTTGAGACCTAGAGAAATCCAGCCTATCATCTCTTTTCGTTTCATGCTGCGTTTATTATACACAGACAGTATGAGCGTCACATCTGAAAGCTGAAATAGTGCCACTTGAAAAATGAAGGTTTCTTTGTATACTGGATTTGGCTGCCCTCGGCGGATGGATGTCTTGCACTTGGACATCTCCTGACCCATGGAATTCAGCAGTGTTAACTTAACATATGTATCTACAAAATAAATAACATTTTGGAATGTTAGCTGTGTGTTAGACTAGGACTTTTTGCTAATGAGATATATAATAACATACTACATAAGGATATGGTGTATACCATGTTGATTGAACATAGCTCAGTTTGGAGATACATAGTTATAATGTGAAGAAGATGATAAGTAAGCAAAAATATTTGTATTGCGCTAATGACGTAGCTGGTATTTTCACTAAGTTAATGAGTTTAGTTAAAGGTATTCCTCATAATCCTTCTCTTCCCCCCCCCCCCGACATCTGTACACAAAGCAGACTTGTATAGCATTAACACTTAGCAAGCTTCAACTAGCCACAACACTGTAAAGCATATCACTGAGTTTTCAGAAAATAAGAACACACAAAGTGGAATGAAGACAACTAATGAAGAGGAAAAACGAATGTTGGTGTGCAGCAATGACATCAAAACAGCTAAGGATGAAATGCTTAAAAAAAAATCTCTGCATGGATGTGGTTTCTTACTTAAGGCTTTTTGATTTTGTTTACATTTAAAGACCAAAATGTAGCCAAATATTAAATGGTGGATATTTACAAAACAGATTAAATCTCTTTTATAGTTCCTAGTTTCATGCAAGATTACATTTAATGTATTTTTGGAGAGAAAATAAATAATCTTTGCACAATTTAACATGATTCTTTAAGATGTGGCTTGCCTAGTGCTTTAGGAAGTATTTTCAAAACGCTGATGTAATGTTTAAAATCTATACTGTAAAATGCATTTAACACACCATGATTTTTAGTATTTGAGTGATAAGCCTTTTATTTTTAAAACTGTATTTTTTCTTGTTTGTCATGACACCTGCATACTGTACACAGCATTTGAATTTCATAAAGTTATTACTCATTTTAAGAAATATATAATTGTCTGAAAAAAATCTGCTTTTTTATTCCTATCGTATACATGACAAGAAGATTATTAAAAGATTAGAGCTTGTGTGAAAAGGAAGCTCATTGCATGTTTTCACTTTTTAGATACTCTGAAATACCATCATCCATAATCAGAGATAAGTGCTACCACTACTTTTAAGAGTACCACAGATAATAAATGTACATTTTGGAAACTAACATGGTGGACAGCCGTGGACAGCTTTACTGCTGGCAAGTTTTCTTTTGCATGAAAAAGACAACATCCAATTAGTCTCTACAGGAACTCACCTCGGATTATATAAACCTGTCCACCTATCAAGTGTTTTAGACAACAGAACAGTCCGTCTGACAACAGGGGGTGGAAAGCAGTAAAAGAAATAATGACCAGATGTCAATAGTTTGGTGAGAGAGGGTCAAAGGTTAAAGTTTAAGAGGAAACACTGTTCACTGGAGCGGAAGAACACAAAACCTTAGCAGTTCTGTTCGGATAGAGGATTGAACAAAAGGATTGTTGGGTAAAATTTAATGAAATGAGAATTTTGTACATTCATTGTGTAATCTTTACCAAAAAAATTACACTTCTTAAATAGCGGGAGATCTTAATATTAATAGTTATTGGATTTAAAGCACATTGAACATAGAAAGAATCATGCAAGTGATCAGGTTATAAAAGACTAGGTTGATATCACTGTATCTTCTTTATCAAACCTTACACTTTTTCATGCAAATTCCAGCATATTAAGTAAGACTACACACAGTAATTATGCTCAGTATATTACAAATTATAGAATGAAAGATTATTGACCTGAAAAGTTAATCCTATAAATGTATAATGATTTTGGTCAGTCATTATATTTAATGTTACTTTGTGACTGTTTGAAGCAGAGATGAAGTTGAATCACAAAGTGAAACTGATCTAAACTTCTGCAAAGTTCACAGATGCTCAGACCTGGGATTCAAATGTGGGTCCATCTCTAATTTAAAATTTAAACAACTCATTAATTAAAACTAATGCATACAATTATTACATGAAAGTTTATGCATTACTTTATCATTTTAAATTATAATGGAATTTTAAAAATACATAAAAGTTCATCAGGATTAGTACACTCATCTTCATCACACTATAGTGATAATTATACTATAGATACTATATCAGGTCACATTCCAAACTCTGATTGCTAGTATAGGTCAGTCTGTAGCTTGATAAGTTCACTACAACTCTTATAACAGTAATAAAGATGCAGGAACCCTTCCAGGTTTGGTTTGAAAGGACTTCGCCCAATTTACATGGGTTCACAATCCCTCATCTACGAAAAGGGTCATGTCTGAACAAAACCTTACTTTTCACAGTTGAATCTCATTGTGATCCAGGGGTAAAACTGGGATTCTATGGGATCATGAGTGTTTTAGCACTCATATCAGAACTAGAAATTAGATTACATCTCAGCTTTATGGAAACAACAGAACTCTGATCTCATGTTTGCACATATAGAATTAGGCCCTCATTATTATATTAATCAAAACATAAAATAATAAGGTAATTCCCAGTAACTGGGAAATGAATGAAAGTAGAATATTAGGGCACTGCCAGACTTGCCAGAAATAAAAAATACCAAGATCTAATTTGCATAAAATTTGTACACTAATATATTATAGGAAACTGTAGCTTATTCCCTCTCTCCGGCACCTTCAGGGGCAGCTACCTATTCTTTCTTCCCTAAGGGAACCCAGGGTCATCTCTCCCCTACCTTGATTCTCACATCTCCACCTCAATCCCCTCACTCAAACTTCCATTGTCCCTCTCCACACTCATCTCTCTTGCCTGTGAGAGCCCCATCTCTCCATGCATTTTCTGCTCTTCTCCCTCCTCTGGGGTCTTTGGGTCCTTCATGTTTCTCCATCTCTCTCTCTTGCTCTCTCTTTCTCCAGCTTTTCCAGTCTCTCTAATCCCCAATCTCTATTAGTTTTTGACTCCAAAGAGATGTCTCTGGAGCTGCTGCTTGGCAACACAAGGGCAGCTAAGATTACGCCATACCCTTCTCCAGCCATGACCACCAAGCTCAGCTCCATCCCTGCAGAAAGATATTCAGAGCGGGAGATGGAGGAGAGGGCTGAGACAAAGGTAACGAATGGGATAAGTAAAGAGCCAGGGAAAGGAGAGGAGAGAGTCTCAAGCCTTTGTGTCCCACTCCTGACTCAGCTGCTAAAGAAGGGAATCCCAGAGATGGGCAGGATATGAAAACAGCTTTTTTAATGTTGTCAGCCTGCCAGGTAAGCCTGCAAAACAGTAGGAAAATTGCGGATTGGGGACACTGTTCCCTCCAATTTTCCCCACCCATGTGTGGAATGAATTTTGTTATGTGGACCAATATGGAGGTGATGTCTGACACATCACCTCCCTATTGGTGCACATAACAAAATTCATGTGGCGGGATGGGACTGAGGGGTTCGGAGTGTGGGAGGGGGCTCAGGGCTGGGACAGAGGGTTGGGGTGCAGGGGGTGAGGGCTCTGGCTGGGGATTGTGGGTTCTGGAGTGATGCCAGGGATGAGGGGCTCAGGACTGGAGCAGAGGGTTGGGGTGTTGGGGGATGAGAGCTCCAGCTGGGGGTGCGGGCCCTGGAGTGGGGCTGGGGATGAGGGGTTTGGGGTGCAGTGGGGCTCCCCGGGGCAACGATGGGGAGAGAGGACTCACCCCCGCAGCTCTCTCTCCCTGCAGCAGCACCTGGGCTGGAGGGGAGAGGCGCCTCTTCCCTGGCTGCTGCAGGTCTGGGGCTGGGCTGGGTCGCAGGGGGGGGGGTGCCTGTCCCCCAGTCGCAGCAGGTTCAGGGCTGAGCTGGGTCAGGGCCGGGGCAGGTCTGTGGCTTGGGGGGAGGCATCTCTACCCGCTGCAGCCCTGAGTGCCTGCACAGAGCTTAATAGGCAGCTGTGCGGCTACGCAGTTTAGAGGGAACTTAGATTGGGGAATAATGTGGCCAAGGTCGGAGCCACCAGACATATCTGCCTATAACCTGCTTGAGTCAGACACCTACTGAATTTTGCCAAGTTGGATCAGAGAATTAGAATGGAATCACAAAAGAACCAAATAAAAAATGGATTCTGATTAGCTGGGCTTATTCTCCACATCACATGAGAAGGAGCAACCAGTCAGGGATGGAGGTAGGATTGTCCTGGAGTCTCCAGGAATTTAAGATTAATCTGTAATTAAAGATTATGTCATGTGAGGAAACGTCCAGGAATACATCCAACCAAAATTGGGAACACTAGACAGAGGAAAAATACCATCTGGTTTATTCCATGTGTCTTATTTCAGCAAATTATGCTCAAACTCAAAATACAAACTTAGAAAATTTGGAGATATTTTTAGACACAGGTTCATCTCAAACCAAGGTTGATTTTGAGTACATTTTGCAGACTACGTTAGAATGAAAAAGTTTTCCCAGCTCCATCCAATGATGAATTTTCCAATTTAAGTGGTGATCTGTACTGCAAAGGCTAGAATTTGTCTTAGATTGTCTTCTCTGAGATTTCCAAAGTTAAATATCTTTTCCAAATATATCACATACATACACAAGCACATACACAATTAAAGACTGTAGCATCAGTCTCCTAGTAACAGCAATAGCTTCACCATATTTACACTAGTGTTAGTTGGCACATACTTTTTCTTTAAAAACTGTAACTTTTTATTCCTGGCCTGTGATGTGAGGCATTAATAGTTTAGCGATTAATCATTATAATAAAGGTAATTTATTAGTCAGTCATCATGAAAAATTAAAACAGTCTTGTCAACTTATAACTAATATTTTGAATTTTAGATTTTTGCTATTTCCCAACTGACTAGAAATATAAAACATGAAACAGATTAGTTGATGATTGCTCTATTTCATTTTGACTGGGTAAGACTAAATGATAGGATTGAAGTTCCCACCACTGAGAGCCCCACAAGTGCAGAAGTATTAGGATGATTAAAAAAAAAAAAAGATTATCACTCACTGGGTGGTCTGTTTGCTGCCAAGTTTTTGAAGTGGCTGCCTTTTATCACTTCTGCTGATAGTCTTCCAGTTGTGGCATTATAAAGTAGGCCGATCAGGATTTCTGGAGCTGAGCCATGTACCAGGGACTGACAAGAGGAGGTACTTTCGCTGCAGGACATTTCTGACATGCTTATTTGAGAGTCACAGCCCTGTAAGCAGAAATGAAATATTTTGATGTGTTTTACAGAGTGAAGCTACTGGAGATCAATTTTTAGTGTAGCACTTAGGGAATTAGGCAAGCAACTTTAACAATAACAGGAGTTGCATGCCTAAAACCCTTATGCACCAGATGAGAAATGTAGTCCTTTAGTGTATTTGTGTTTAGATATACACTTGAGGTAACAAAGAACAAAGCAATCTGGAGACAAAGTTATTATTAATATTGTGTTTTCATTATTAACTAGTCAGGAAGAATAAAAGGACCAAGACAAACACAGCATTTAGGGTCTTTACTTACTTGAATTGATAAGATGAGACATACAGTGTACTTTGCTGGCATCTAAGAGCCTACTAAACTTAGGATATTTGCTGTTTTTCCATAGATAGAAATCACCATTTGAACTTGGAACACAATAAAATACAGGGAATTTTTATTTCTCCTTTGTAAAGGTTATTTGCCAAATTGAAAACTCATGAGTATACAGTTAAAGACACGAGGAGAAACACAAACACACACTGCCAAGAACCAGTTTGTTTAGTAGGGTAGATTAATTGAGCCAGGCATATGGAATGTAACAGGCCTCTGTGCCCTGAGTGGCAGGGAGGGAAAGTCATATCAAGGGTGGACAGGCAGTGATCTAGTGTCCTCCACCTGGGTTCCTGCCAGGGCCGGCTCCAGGCACCAGCTTAACAAGCAGGTGCTTGGGGCGGCCAAGGGAGAGGGGCGGCACCTGCGGCAATTCGGGTTCGGCAGGTCCCTCACTCCCTCTAGGAGCGAAGGACCTGCCGCTGCTGATCGCGATTGCGGCTTTTTTTTTTGCTTGGGGCGGCAGAAATGCTGGAGCCGGCCCTGGTTCCTGCAGGGAGGAAGCTTTAATTTCCACCATGGGAGCCTCTAAGAGGATGCACATCTCCCAGGCATTATGACTGTGTTGCCTCTTAACCCAGGCTGCTCACACCCACCTTGGCCCCTTTCAGCCCCTCCCCCCAGCAAAGGAAAGTTTACAGCTACTTTACACTATCACAGTTATTGTCCCGGTGGACTTCCTACTCTGGGGACTATATGCATATAGTAACTCTAGTGCAAACAAGGTTCTGGGTTTTATTTGGCCCAACCGCTATTTGCTTGGAAGCTGTGGAGAGAATTTAAAATGCCCAATTTACTCCTTTAAATTCCTCCCTCAAAGATCCTAAGGGTCTGTCTACACTGCAGCTGGAAGTGAGCCTTCCAGCCTGAGTAGACTGACTTGCACTAGCAGGACTCAAGCTAGCACACTAAAAATAGCAGTACGGACACTGCCACTTGGGTGGAGATCTGGGCTAGCCATCTAAGATCATGCCCACTGCCACACACCTTTGGGTCTGAGCTCAGGTAGCTAGCCCAAGTCTCCATCAGAGCCATAATATCTACACTGCTATTTACAGGGCGCTAGGCTGAGCCCCACTAGCACAAATCTGTCTACCCAGGCTGGGAGGCCTGTAAGTTGTACCCACCTTTTCTTCAGTCAAAAAACATTTGGGGTAGCTCCTTTCAGACTCAACATTATTTAAAGGAGTTGCTGGGGGAGGGATTGAAGGAGGGGGAATGGATCCATTGTTCTTTGAGGTGGTTGCTTCTCCAGTGTTCAACACATCCATACCCTTTCTAGAAATTGGTGGTAAGGACAGTGAGATCAAGCCTGGGACCATATAATATAATAATATATCTCCTAGAACTGGAAGGGACCTTGAAAGGTCATCGAGTCCAGCCCCCTGCCTTCACTAGCAGGACCAAGTACTGATTTTGCCCCAGATCCCTAAGTGGCCCCCTCAAGGATTGAACTCACAACCCTGGGTTTAGCAGGCTAATGCTCAAACCACTGAGCTATCCCTCCCAGGTCTAGGTCAATCTTAAAAGCAAATGAAAATTTTACTTTACTCATAAAGCATGAATGAAATACAGAAGACCAAATTATAGCACAGGTATTAGTTTAGTCTATGAGACTGCATTTCAAATGGAACCCTTGTCCTAATTCTCGTCAACGGAAACAATATGTTCAAATAAATGTAAGGATGATACAAGCTTCCCAAAGCTTATTCCAAGAATTCCAGACCTTATATGTGAATGCATAATGGTGTTACCAAATACATTCCTGGTGGAAAAGGTCCTAACCCAAATCTTCAGATCCCAGTCCCCCAAACCATCCAAATTTGCATTTTCAGTCTTTGATAATGCTTCCAATGTTCATTATTTAGGGCTGAAAATGAGCTATGAAGTATTTTTTAATTGCATTTACTCTCTGCTTCTTTGGTATAAGCAAATAAAAAACCCACATTCCTCAACCTGAAGTACAAAGTGGAAAGCTGAAAAGGAACATGACTCAGCTCCAGCAAGCACTGTGTACACTGTACATTCCAAAAGTGCTGGCTGTCAAGAAACAGATAAAATCAAGGTTTGGCCAGTCTGTTTTTATAATGTGTTTTCATAACTGCAGGTATGGCATACAAGAACAATTTTTCACAGCTGTTAAAGCTATATATATTCTCGCTGTTGAGCTTATTCAGTTTGTCTACTTAAGCTGGAATTACACCGCATGATTGCATGACAGATATACCCAGTATCAGTCAGTATAATAGGCAGTGCTGTGAGCCTATCAGCAGCCTAACCATTGTCAAGTTTTTGTTGGCATCAGGGCAATGGAGAGTTTTAAGGAGGGATCTGAAGGAGGATAATGAGGTAGCTGTGAGCATGTTTTCTGGAGTCCCCTTCAAATGGAGGGATGCCAGTGGTAAAAATGACGAGGTAGGAAAATGTTTTTGCAGCAGCATTCTTAAAGGATACGAGTGGGGCAAGGCTGCATTTGTCAGAGCCAGAGACAAGGATGTTGCAGTAATTCAGATGGCTGATGATGAGAGTTTAGCTGTGTGGATGGATAAGTAAGGCCATATCTTAGAGATATTACTCAGAAAAAATCTGCAAGATTTAGACATAGCCTAGATAGGAGTACCTACAGAGAGGTCCAAGTCAAAGAGTATCGAGTGACAGGCAGAATGGCGGTGTTGTTGATAGTGATTGAGAAAGACTGGGGAGGAGACTTGGGGGGTGGGAGATAAAGAGCTCTGTTTAGCCATGTTGAGCTTGGGCACAAAGCTAGACATCCATGAGGAGATGTCAGAGAGACAGGTCAAGATTTTAGTTTGGACAGAAGAAGACAGGTCTGGGAGTAAAGAGATAGATCTGTGAGTCATCAGAATAGAGATGGTAGGTGAATTTGTGTTTGCAGATGAGATTACCAGATATAAGATATAGACAGAGAAGGGAAGGGGACTAAGCACAGAGCGCTACAGAACACCCACAGGAGGTTCAAGGGTGATGAAGAGGATCCTCCGAAGAATACACTGAAGGAGCAATTAGAGAGATAGAAGGAGAATCAGGAGAGGACAGAGTTATGGAAGCCAAGGGAGAACAAAATGTCAAGAAGAAGGCCATGGTCATTAGTATGGAAGGCAGCTGACAGGTTGAGGAGGACAAGGATGGAGTACTGGTTCTGAGCTTTGGCCAGGAAGAGGTAATTAGAGACTTTAGCAAGAGCCATTTCAGTGGAGTGCAAGAAGCGGAAATCAACAGTAGGGGATCTAGGATAGAACTGGAGGAGAGGGACTGCAGACAGTGATTGTAGACAGTGCATTCAATGAAATTAGAGATGAAAGGGAGAGGGGGCAGTAGTTGGAGGTAAGTGAGGTCAAGGATGACTTTGTTTTAAAAAGGGAAAGATTAAAGAATGTTTATATTGTGAGGGGAAAGAGCCAGAGGAGAGTGAGAGATTAAAGAGAAGAGTAATGTAGGGTATGAGAGTGGGAGCAAGGGAGATCAGGAGATGAGATGGGCTGGGCTGGGATGGGCTCACTGGGGCAAGTGGAAGTGTTAGAAGAGGAGGAGAGCAGATGAAAAACCACTGCGTCTGTTACTGTGGAGGAGGACGAGAGAGTTGTAGGAGGGAAAGGGAAGGGAAACCAAGGGGAGGGAGAATCATGTCATATTTTGTCAGTTTTCTTTTTGAGGAAATTAATGAGATTCTGTGCAGAGAGAGACATGGAGACAAGAGGAGGGGAGTGTTTGAGGAGTGAATCAAAGATAGCAAAAAATGGCTGGGATTGTGGGCATGGGATTAAATTATGTTGGAGAAGTAGAGCTGCTTATCTAGCAAGATGGCAGAACTGATGAAGAGAACAAATCTGTAGTGGAGGAAATCAGCCTGGTCACAGGATTTCCATAGAAACGCTCTGCAGTGTGAGAGCAGAAGTGAAGGAAGTGGAAGTTGGGGGTGAGCCAAGGCAGGAATGACCTTGTGATGGGAGAGAGAGGCCAAAGAGACAAAGGGGAAGGAGGGTGGAGCATGGAGACAATCAACAACTACATCAATAGAAGAAAGGGAACAGAGGACAGGGAGGAGAGGGCTGAGAGCAGATGAAAAAGCATCAATGCTGATGGACTGGAAGTCATGAAAAATCGGTTACTCGCCTTTGTAACTGTTGTTCTTCAAGATGTGTTGCTCATATCCATTCCAATTAGGTGTGCGCGCGCTGCATGCATGGCCATCAGAGAATTTTTACCTTAGCAACACCCGGTGGGTCGGCTGTGGAGCCCCTTGGAGTAGCGCCTTTATGGCACTTGATATATACCCCAGCCGACCCAGCACCCCCTCAGTTCCCTCTTGCCGGCCACGCCGACAGAGGGGAAGGTGGGCGGGTTTGGAATGGATATGAGCAACACATCTCGAAGAACAACAGTTACAAAGGTGAGCAACGGTTTTTTTTCCTTCGAGTGCTTGCTCATATCAATTCCAATTAGGTGACTGACAACCCTTACCTAGGTGGTGGGGTCGGAGTGAGGTAATGTGGATAGTAGGACTGCTCTACCAAACGCCGCATTGTCTCTGGCCTGCCGGATGATAGCATAGTGCGAAGCAAAAGGGTTTACTGATGACCAAGTTGCGGCTCTGCAGATCTC